GTGTTTTCTAGGCTTTGACTCAATTAAATTTTATATAAGTAAATTGTATTTCTCTTATGCAGAATGTCCATGATCACTGTAATTTATAATTATACATAAAGGAGAGCAAATGTCACAGGACATTGTTGTGTTACACCATTGGTCCTTACACCAGAGTATCTCCTACCTTGTGCCAGAAAAAACATTTATGATGCCACAGAAAGGTGAGATCATGGAAATGATCAGTACAGTGGGATTGTTGTTTTTTTCCTGTATTAACATTTGTGCAGCACTATATAAAGCAAAATTGAAGAGTCAGCTTCACATTTCCTAAGTGGGCTACACATATGAACACGTACCTGAATCTGCTGCTGCTTGATTCACAGCTTCTGATTCCAGGTGTCAGTTATCCTGCAACATCTTCCTCTTTCTAGATGTCTGCCCTCTTCACATGTTTTATTGCTGCCATGTTCTGCCCTATATTTAGCTTATTCTTACATTTCCTAATTTTGACCTGGATACAACTGTATATACACAGTTAAACTATAGTTCCTCATACCTCCAAAATTACTCTCTTAGAATGGGAGAGAAAATGGGAACACCCTCCTCCTACATTACCCTAGAGACTAAGTTGGAGGAGTTCAATGAATGAGAGCATGCTGGTTCAATGAAGGAGTGCAGAAATGTGTGCTCAGTGCAGAGATTCAATATTTGACTGGTAGCTGCTGCTCTACAGGTCAATTATTTGAATGTCAGGCAGTGCAGCTGGGATGAAAGGCATCTGTATTAGCATGAGCTCTAGCTTCACACTTGTTTCAGGTGTGGAAAGCAGGGACAAAGAGCTGATAAGGCTGCATCTAAAAAGCAGTGACTGAATACATACAATGAAGTCATCCAGCCTGGATTTATAAAACATTACAGTCATTTTCTTTCAGTATTAAATGCTGACAAGGTCTATTTGATGAGAACTGCCCACCTCTCCATGGTAAGATGGTCAAAGGTTGAAATTCTGATCTTCAGATATAAAGCACAGAAGACAAATTGCTGAACGTCATCCTGCCAAAGGGCACTCACAGGAAGGTCAGAACTATTTTAATCTATTTGACTGAATGTCTACCCCTTTACTTCTTACAATAAGAAACCTATGCATGAAGAATGCAGTATCTCAGGGCTGGAGAACACAATATCTCAGAGCTGAGCATCAACAAAAAAATTTCTACATTTCTATATACTTAGTGATTGTAAGTAGCTGAAGAGTAAGAAGGATTGAAGCCTCAGTGCCTGGAATTTCTATGTGAAAACCCAGAGCTTGGATAGAGGGAGGTTCTTTAAATCATCCCTGGTTTGACTTTAGATAGTCTTTTTTATTTGCTGAAAATTTAAATGAGTAAATGAAATATAGCACTGATTTAAATAATCTGCCTGCATTCCTTTTGCAACCAAACTACATTCCTTTCTTTTTCAGCCATTCCAGGAACTAATCATATTATGGATTTAAATACAGTTACTCTAGTTTTTTAATTTGAAATGCAAGTTTGAATTGTCCATTACAAATCTTAAAGATAACTCAACACTAAAAATACAGAGAGTCACATTTTAACCTTTTAGTACAAGAATAGTTGATAATAATACAAGAACCGTACATCATTAATCATATCCATGTCAGTGACAACAAACAACTTCAGGAGATCAAAGCACTAAAGATAAATAAGAATTCAGACTTTACCTGAAGAAGTGGTGGATAAAGTGTAACCACACGGTCTGTATAAACAAATACTTGGGAGAGGAAGAATCAAAAGAGGATTGCTTCTGATTCCCTTGCAAAAGCTATGCAAGTAGGAAGGAAAAGGGATCAGCTAATTCCTTCTTTGTGCAAAGACAATGAATAAAGGACTTTTCCTGCATTAGTCAAGTTAGATCAAAATAACATCAAGCATCATGTCCAAAGAATCAGAACATTTTGAAACTACAACTCACAGAAACAATAATCAGATACTTTAAACATTTTCTTTAAATAAAGAATTTTATTTCTCCTCAAAACAACAAAAAAGTTAGTTTTATTTTTTTCAGTACATTCCACTACACAAAGTAACCCTTGTGACTCTCTATTAGGTACATACCTATCTTCAAGCACCAGTGAACCCAGCCATTCACCAGGAACAAAAGCACCTACAGTTCCAGCTTTCATTGGTAGTTTCTTTTTTCACTGGGCACAAGCCAGATTCAAACTGTTTGAGAGGGGAAGTAGTAGACACACATAAGCCACTATTTATTTCCAACCCTCATACAAGACATCTGATACAAGCCAAGATGAAGAGAAAGCCAGGGATTCAGTGTATAAGCATGGGAATTTCAAGAGCAAAAATTGGAGGGATGGCAGGAAAGGGAAGGGGAGGGTGAAAACAGACGAATTTGCTTTTCAGCTAAAAGGTTCCTCTTACTTTTTCCCAGGTGAATGTGCTGGTGTTGCTACACAGAGACCTGAGCAGCTCAGGTGTTCTATCCTTAAACCACACTCATTTTTAACTAACCGGTTACAGAAAAAGGACCTTTCATCAGGAGAATTGATTGCTGCTGGTGAGCAAATGTTTCTTATTCTTAACTTTCCTTTAGAACAGAAATGAGGTTAGGTTGGCAAATGCATTACAAGTTTAATTATACATAAAGACAAATGATAGATGCTTAGAGATTAGCTAGCAAAACATTTGTTCTGACAGACAGATTAAGGCAATCTATATTGTGTTGGCTGTCATTTTTTTTTTCCTTAATCATTTAACTAAAACTGGATTGTGTAACATCAAAAATTCAGAACATTGAATTCAAACTGCCTCCAGCTACAGCTCCATAAATTACCCTTCCAAAATCTTATTGGTTTTCAATAGGATGATAATTAATTATTTAAGCTTCAGAGAATTAATCCTGTGACTGGAAAAAATTTATAGTTTGATATTTTTTAGGAGTACGCTGTGAAAGAAAGAACTGATTCACACACCCCATACCTGCTTTATAGAGACATCATCTGGTGTGATTCCAAAGCCATAACTATTTATGTTTAAACAGCATTTTGATATGTTAATATAAATGCTAGATTTTACTGTTAACATCTAAGGTAAACTAATACTAAAGATAGTCAGTAACTTTCACAGAGTTATACTCGTTCACCATGAGTACAGTAATGAGAGTGTGTCATGATCTGCTCTTGCTGACCGAAGTTAGTGGTCTACAGAAACACTAGGAAAAATTTGAATGGAATTTCCTTTACTAAAAAACCTCATCCCCTAAACTTAACTAAAAGTCATAATCTCTCTTTAGGAAACACTGAAAAACTTCACATTTATTAAACATCAATAATCTCCAATCATCAAACTAATGTGCATAATCAGTAAGCTCCAGAGAAGACTCCTTTCTAAAACTTAACAATAGATAATGGGAAAGAGACTATGTATGAACAACTTTAGAGTTGTGATGCTTTTGAGGGGGAAGAAAACCATTGTGGACAAGACTGAGGAGAAAAAATATTATAACTAAGATGTTAATTATTTTGGCAACTTAAGGAAATTTGTTCAGAAATGTAAGATTCTTAACACAAGATCATTTTTTATAAAATTTTGTACATTTTAGCATGCAAATTGCTCTCCAGTCAGTTGACCAGAACGCTTCTCATGTATTGAGATTTAAAGTTATTGGAAGTGGAGTTTGAATTTGTTCACTTGAAATTGAACTTTTAATAGTGATGTTAGCAATGCTGAGAGATTGATCCATTAAGGTAATGATAAAAGCTGCTGTGCTTTCCATGCCTCTTTGTATTAAGAATCACAAAGCATTTTCTTTTGTCAGTGCTCAGGGCTGTAATTCCATACTAGGTATCAATTCAAGTTTGAAATTTTCCTTACAAATACAGGCATAGTGCTTTGGGGATTATTTTTATTTTTTTTAATTTTGGTTTTTTATTTACTTGAAAGCACTTTCTCAATGGGTCATTCTTGTAACTCCTAAAACTCAGGCTCTGAAAAGCAGAATCTCCAGTGAGAATTGATAAACTAATTGGCCTACATGCATTGTATTTTTTAAACTTAGTTCAAACCATCAGGTATGCTTAAACATGATGGTACTGGGGAGAAAGAAGCCATCAATTGAAAAAATTTGGCATCATTCCGCTTTTTCTCAAGCTTTCTCTTTGTTCTCTGATTTTTATCAAGACCAGAAGTTACTGAAATTCTTGCAATTATTTTTGTCATGAAGAGAAGAAAACATCTTCAAAATGCTGAAACACCTAGGAGCACAGACAGATTGTTTTAAAAGAGTTGAGTTGAAAATCAGTTTTAAAATGCCACAAAGAATGGGGAAATTTTCTGAGTTTTCATTGTGAGAAACAACCAGAAATTTCTTTGATATTTGTCTCAGTCTTTACCAAGCTGGTTCACAGAGTGTAGCCTAAAAAACATAATGGCAATTTTAACATGCTGAAGGGACTTGCTGATTTAAAATTTATTATACTTGGAGGCAAATATTTTTCTGTTTTCCTATTTTATTAGAGAGGATATCAAGAGACATCTTTTGATAAAAAAAAAAAAAAACAAAAAACAACCTACTGTCCTTAAAGAAAGATCCCATGCTGTTATGTTTCACTGAAATTAAAAAACTAACAGAACAAACAACTGGTAGCACTGCCTTGAAATTGTTGTCATCAAGTGTGACAACATTGTACTAGCACATAAAAATTAAATGCTGTGTGATCAGAAATGAACTAAAATTAACTTTTTCCCACGGATCACACTGCGGTGAAAACTGTCCCCTGTGGACTAATTTTGCCAGCTGGGTTTCATGATAAAATTAAGCACCTCCATTTTGCACTTCTCTCACAAAGAAAAGTATTTCCAGAAAGAACCAAAACTGTCTCAGTGGTATGGATTGTCAGGATACTACTAATACATCGATTTCCACTGTGTCAGCTGATGAGTCAATGTGACTAAAGCTGTTGCTTTGTTTTCCAGTCTCCTTGCTGCATTGAAAGGGAAATAATGCTCCATTCAACACTGGCCTTGTCCCTCCTGCTAATTGCAGTCTCTTCCAACTTCGCAATCGCCATCAAAAAGGAGAAGCGAGCACCTCAGACGCTGTCGAGAGGTACTGTACATTTACTGCGGGGGGTCACGTCCTCAATTTACCGTATAGGTCAGCAAAAGTTTTTTATTAGGAACGTACATCAAAGCACACCTATATTTACTGAGTTGTGTTTCTCTACTTATGTGATACTCTGAGTACTTCATCTTCTTATTCCATGTTATTTTACTCTAACAGTTTAGTTTTGAGGATATGGCTGAGGACCTCATACAAACCTGCATAATTTATATAACTCACAGTGACCTAGTAGCAGCAAATAACCTAAACTGAGTCTCTCAAATGAGGATGCATTTGTAGGACTATCACTGAAAATATATTCTGTCATATACCATTTAAAAGATATTTTATTGTAGTAACATTACCTACTGAAACACAATTTCATAACCTCAGTTGTTATGGAATAATTTTTCTACAAGCCCATTTTTATACTATAAATAACAGTTTGAGCCACTGGTGGGTTTTTCTGCTTGATTTGGGGGGTTTTTTTGCTTTTCATCAGACAGTCACACTCATGCTGTGCAGTGGATAATTCACATCCTTGTGGTGCGTAATATTCAACCTGGATGTTAACTAAAGACCCTATATTGAGTTATTTATGTCTGATCGGTTTTTAGAAATACAAACAGAGAAACAGCTGACAGTCTTTTCCTCTACTCCGTCATTCATCTCCTTTTGGGCTTATTAATTCAAAAAAAATCTCCATCTCCCTTCTTGACCTCTTCTTCAAGCTAAGCAAAGCCTGCAGACCCCAGAGCTCACCTCTGAGGTCTTCCCATCCAAAACACTGGCAAAGCCGCACCTGTCACAGAGGTTCCATCTGAGCCTGATTTCCCAGGGAGCACTTGACAAAATCATGCAACACAAAAAGAGAACAAAGCAGAAGACAAAAGAGAAGTCACGAACCTCTTCATGTAAGTGTCATCTATAGAAAGAGGTTATACTTTATTCAGTATCTATTGCATATTTTGCCTAGCTCAAGACTTAATTTTGCCACTAAGCCCAAATGCATGAAAAGATAACAAAATTCCTTCAGTTCTGGCAATTTTGAAAAAAAAATAGCCACAGAAAGCAAGTGTCAGTTTTCTAATTCTGGTTTCAGGCCTTTTGGGCTGCTTTGTGCGCTTTACCTGTAATTTCCACAGGTCAAAGGGGAACACTTAAACCTGCTGCAAAATGACCCTTGCCGATGCCTCTGCGGTGCAGTTGCCTCCATCAGCAGCTGGCTTCCGCCAGGGCTGCAGATGCGCAGGTCAGCCTGCCAGAACCCCGCCCTCAACCAGACAGATCTGTCCCCTGAAAGATGAGCTGACCCTGCAGCGTCACAAGCAAGCGTCCCATGAGAAAGCTAACAGCAAGTCTCTGCGTAAGGAGGGCTGGCACAAGCACTGCCCAGGCAGGACAGAAGAAACAGAGCCTCAATTTGATCCTGACGCTGTTCTATAATTCCCTAAGAGCCGTCGTGAATGGAGCAACACTGCCTAGAAGGCAGAGATCTACTACACAGGGGCTGGCAGCTTTGGGATCTGAAGGCACAATATCAACTGGGCAATTTAAGATCAGTGTATCACCAGCTGTAGATGAGCTATGAAGCTGGTGACTCATTAGGATTTTGTTTTGGTGGAGATTTTATTTAACAGCCATTCTTTTGTTAAATTATTTAATTAAATTAAGTACTTGCAGCTCCAGGGATTGAAGTTACTCAGGAGTTATGATTACAACCCAAGACTGTTCTAACAATGTTCGTATTAAAGTTGACTTTATCTGAGCTGCAACATTTTATTGTCCTCTCTTTTATAACTCAACTTTCTCTTTAAGCCCCAGGTTCTACATGAAATATGAGGCAGACAATATAAAGGATTTGAGTGCTGATTTATGGATCTCTGAATATTCAGAAAGATAGCTCAGAGGTTTGCCAAAGGACTTGAACTGAATATGCAGCTAGCTGAGGGTGTCTTCGTGTTTTGGTTGTTTTGTTGGGTTTTTTTTTAATCTTACAGTGCACCTATCAGGACATGTAGAATTAGCACATCTACACCGTTTGGGAACCTTTGAATAAAAATTCCAAATCCTATTCAAGTATTACTACTGATAAATATTTTTAAAAGGAATTTGGTATGAGTTACTTGCCTAGGCACCAGTTAATCCTTTTGTTATATTTCTAGGGTGGGGAGATGAAATTACCTGGGTACAAACTTATGAAGAAGGGCTTTATCAAGCAAAAAAAAGGTAGGAGATCAAAAAATAGTTTGAATGACGAAGCTCTTAATCAGTCATGCCTGAATATATTGTAATGAAACAGAACAAAGAAATCCCATGACAGCTGATTAGTTACAGATTTACTGAGAAGTAATAGTGGTTTTAAAAAACACAGGAGAAAATGCACAGAATTGTTTCATGTTTTGACATCCAACAAAGTAAAATTTTGATGCTTTACTAAACCATTTACAGAAAAAAATAATTTATTGTGTATCTCTTCACAAAGCCTTAAAAAACATGAAGTTTTCATGGAAAGTATTTGATTATAAATAAAATATAAAAAGTGTTTTATTCCAGTTCATACAGATTATTTTTATTTTCTTAATCCACAACTAAGCAATATTAAATAACTCCTCTGATTATATACTAATTGGGAATAAAATGATGATGGCTCTGTTGGTTTCTTTCCTCTAGAATCTCTTAGTTTAGAAAATCTCTTTCTTTTATGACACAGTTATGTTCTTTTCCCTTGCTCAAAAAGTCTGTAATTCTTTACAGAATGTCTGTATGTTTTTACTGTGGATTAACATAAACTTAAATGTAATTTGTCTTTTCCAGTCTGCTAATATAATCACCCATTTGCATACATGTCAAATGATCTAACTACATGTTTTATTATTATTAATAAAGTAACAAGCCACTGATGGTAATTCATCATTTAGAAGACTGTCAATACTGCCAAGGTAATTTTGATTTTTTGAGTGTTAAAATTTTGTGAATATTTCTATAAGAGACTGAACCTGTCTATGTATTTACCTTGCACTTACTGAAAATTATTTCAAGGAATAGGTAAATGAAAGTGTACTTGAAAAGCTATTAATAATAAACAATTTATTAATGTTATTTACAAAAACTCCACTATGAAACCAAAGAAAGAACGTGGAAAACACTCTGTACTGCTATCCTGCTATCCCTAATGCAGCACCCATCAGTTTAAATTAAGACACAGATTTGCTACTGACTCATTGAACAGATTTAATATTGTTTGGACAACTTGGTAACTAAAGAAGGAGATGAGGACAAGGCTGCTGAAATTAATCTAGTAAGAATTTTCTGAGAATAATGTACTATTGTCAAGCTGAGACACGGTATCCAGGGAGACAACAGGCTTCATAAATAACATTTTCATAGCCAGGAGGTTGTACTGACATGGGTCAAAAAAACAAAAAGCAGTGATAGAGCCCTTAAGTGTCTCCTCAGGAATGTGAATCAGCAAGACAGCAACAATGTGGCTGGTCTCCGGCCAACGTGATGCCTAAATGGAGAAGGAAAGGCAGTGTTTGAAATGGACTTCAAAATTATCATGTCTTTTCTAGCACTGAAGAAAGCTTTTGCAGAAAATGAAGAGATACAGGAAATGGCCCAAAATAACTTCATTATGCTGAACCTCATGGTATGAGGAGTTTGGGGGAATTGGTATCTTTTTTTGGCTTGTGCTTTTTCTTTCTTTATCTTTCTTTTTCATGTCAGGTTATCTAAACATCTCTGACATTTTACTTCGATGTAGTACAAGCATTTGTTCATATATATATACACACGAGTAGTACCTTTTTTGATTTGGTCTGGTACAAGACTATTCACAAGTGGCACTACTTCAGCAAAATTTACAGAAGTATTTTAATAACTAGTTCTTATTTCTCTCTCAGCATGAAACCACAGATAAAAATTTGTCACCTGATGGACAATATGTACCTCGAATCATGTTCATAGGTATGTACAATATTTATGTATCTTCAGAGTTGTGATATCTGAATCTATGCTAGTGTCCTCCTTTGAGAACATCAAAATGATTCATTTTGCAAAAAGAAAATAGCTCATAATTTATCATTACCATAGTATTAGTCTGGAACTTGGCAGATATGAGTTCAGTTCTCTCTTCGTCACAGGCTTTGACCCTTGTAAACTTCCTCAGGTTATAAAGATGTTCTGGAGAGTACTTAATTTGTGCTTGGGGGCTAGATGCTTAAATATCTGTTAGCATCTGGTCTTCCGTTTTCCATGCTTCTTGCTAGTGTTGTCATAAGACAAAGTTTATTGTAAAGACTCAAATATCTAACTGAACATAGATGTCAACAGTGTAGACATTACCACAGAGCAAGTCAATAGTCAGTGGCACCTAAGGAATGATTTATCCCATTGTAAAGCTGACTTCTTGAATAGGTTGGATGAATCACACCACAGCGAGCCTGTTCCTTTTCACTCACCATACAGTTAGTATAGAGTGACTAGCTCTGTGGTGGCATCCTAGATTAGGTGAAATGAAGCCCACACTCAGAGAGCAATGTAGTAACAGGAATCAGTAAATTAACAAGGAGCTTGGAAAATGAACTGAGAAAACACGTCCACAACGTCTTGCTGCTGTGATGGAAACATTAACAATTACAAGGTTTTTTAATTCTGAAGGCTCTAGGTAGGTCATCCTAATATTGCACTGACTATGTGTGCAAGTCCAATCGGCCTCTCTTGATGTAACCCCAAAACCTGTAAACCAGGATATTTTTCTTTAAGTATGTATTAAATGTATATGTAATCTATCACTTAAAAGTAGCTGCACAATATAAAAATGAGCATTAGTGTTTGTTCAGGATTTCTCCAAGTAAAGATCAATTGGTTGGAACACAGCCTAATGGCCTCATAATTGGCTTGTTGATGAAAACAGAGCACCTCAGTAACAGGGCTCTCAAAGGAGTGCTATGGACATCACTCTCAGCTGCTGTGGGTATGGAAACCAGTGTTTAATATCGTTACTTTTTCAGACCCATCTCTCACAGTAAGAGCTGATATAACAGGAAGATACTCCAACCGGCTTTATACTTATGAACCACAAGACATACCGTTCTGTAAGTGCCCCCTTTGTTGTGTTGCTTTGCATTTCACATCGTAAGTAGCCAGATACACCCTGTCCCAGTAATTTGTGCTTAAGAATTTGTAAGATCTCAAAGTAATGAATAAAGACTGTGAGCATTGGCAATGAATTATAACAGCCTAACCTGTTCTAGCAAAACACTTAAGCACACCTGTTGTCCCACCGAATTTATTTGGACTACTCAGGTAAGAAAAATTGAAAGATCATGGTTGAGAACTTTCAGGATCAAGATCTGAGCAGTTTGCTGGAGAGTAGTGAAAGTCATTATGTTCAAAGCTAGCCACCTGAAAAACGTAAACAGTGAGTGGTGGGAGGGAATCAGTAAAGAAATGCTGGTGGTTTCCTGTGTACCACCTAACACTCCTATTTCAGAAAGGAATGTGATTTTTCAGGCTGAGCTAGTCCATACTCTATCATCTATTTGACACCCATGCAGCATCGCACCACAAATATGCATGTCACATCTGATTACCAGGCTTGCTGTTAAGAAATGAGAGAGTTCAAAGGAGTCTTGTCAAATCACTCTAAATTAAACATTTTGATTCATAAAAATCTTTACCTTCTGCTTTAGTATCAATGCCAGGATTTTCACAGTAGTAAGCAACAAAATGTGTGACCATAAATTAATTCCAATGTGAACAATTTACTAATCAAACTAAGTGGGTGTTTTTAATTGTACAAATGCACTCTAAGTACATTACAGTTATTTTTCTTTCAGTAATAGAGAACATGAAGAAAGCATTACGCCTCATTCAGACAGAACTGTAACCAACAACAATGAAATGATGATAGCCTCTACGAGGTGAAGCTGCACTAGGAATCATTCCATTTTAAGCTATTTTACTTAACCTCTCTTGTCTCTACTAGCATTTTGAACTTTTACCAAGCAGCTTTGGTATACCAGATTTTGTAAGAACTTCATATGTACAATTTGAAGAACAAACACAGAAAGATTATCATGTCCATTTGGAAAACAAGAGGAGAAATCTATAGAACACCAGAATTAGTTCTATAACTAAGAATTGCAGTAACTTTGAGCTGTATTTTAATTTAACTATCATTAAGTCAGCTATGACTTCTGATCAAGAGTTAAAACAAACCTTCTTGATGTCTGTTTGCAGTTTGTTATAGGCATTAATAGCTCCATCTCAGCTCTTTTTTTTTTTTTAATTATTTTTATTGCAAGAAGTTTGTAAGTTGCTAGTGTATCTCTAGTGTAACTTTATGCACTTATTTCTCATTAAAGAAAAAGAAACTTTGTTGGCAAATAGATAAGAAGCCTCTTCCTATAGATTTTGGAATACCTTATATAGAAAAACACTAGTGATCTGAGCTTAGCCGCCTTCTGTATAATTCTTTAGCTGTTGTTCTGATAGCTGAAAACAGAGCAGGCAGCTCACATGGAGCACACAGTCTCAGTGAGGTGATAGTCATCGAACAGCAAGTACAGGTTTTGCTGTAATAAAGGTACAGTGAAGCAAGAGAGATGTGCGGCGATAGTCCCAGAACTCCACGCCTGAGGCCAAGTGACGCTTGTAAAGTCTGGTACGGGAAAAATTATCAAGCTTGTCCTAGCTCTTTTCATTTAAATGGCACTTGAGTCATGTGAAGCTCATTCCAGGTCATTCCCTCTTTTTCTGTAGCATTGCAACCCAGACATCATGGTGGCATCTTACTGAGGGGATTCAACTTCACAAAGTTGCATTAGGATCACCATATTCAAGGGTGGACAACTGTTTCCAGTAAAAAGCTGAAGTCAGTTGAAATAATTTGTTATCCCAGCAATGTGCTTTTTCACTAGACCAAGACAGTAAGCAATTCATCAGCAATAAAAGCCCTAACGTACGTACAAAGGACCAGTGTCACTTGTTTGTGCTACCTGCCATTTCCTATGATGCTGCCTGTGTGCACAAAAGATGAAGGATCATTGCAAGATAGCTTTGCTAATTTACAATACCTAGTATTAATTTGTCATGAATGAGTTATATTGCACCTATCTATGTCTTCATAATTATGTAACATTTGGATGCAAGTATATATTCCAACAAAGGAGTGATAAATGACCTGTACGTTAAGAGAAAAAAAAAATGTTGTATTCATCATTAACAGTGTCTCATCTTCATAATCAGTTAAATTCTTTTTTTAACCTGCGGGAAAATGCTAGAAACAAAATTAAACTGGTAGTCACATTCCTTTAAACTGTTTTTACCTCTACTCATTAATGTCCATATCTATTCCAGATTTGTAATATTTGCCAGCCTGTGGGCACACTCTCTTTTAAGCAAACAAGAGATGTTCAGGAAAACAGGATGTGAGCTAGCTGCCAGATATTACACAGGAGAGCAATGGCAGCACTCTCAAAGTAGAGTCAAGAGAAGATTTGGTTCAGAGAGAAGCACAGCACAAAAGAACTTTAGAAATGCTTAAGTACAGTAGATTCAAAATATTACCATAAAGAGTAAGTGGAAAGTGCTGGATCTTTGCTGTTATATTGCAGGGAAATTTTTTCTTCATACATTCACTTCCAACACCAGCCAAGATCACAGGAGACATTGGCTTCAAACAACCTCTTCTTTAACTCAGATGGGAAACCAAATGGGGGATAGTTACACTACAAGCCAGTGCCTGATTCACTTATTTAAGATTCTGAAGACTAAGTTTTCAGGCTCTGGTTTGATATTTGAAAAAAGGCTGTACCTGCGGAAGTATTTGCATGGGTTTGCTTTCATCCCAGAATGAAACAAAAACTTTCAGTTTCATATCTGGAAAGCAGCTAGAAAATAAACTTGTCCTCACTTCAATTCTAATAACTACAGCTTTGTCTGTAGTACTCATTTCCTTGCCTGTACCACTATTCTATTAATTGCAAAGGTGACAGTGTCTGCCTTAAAAGAGTGCTCTCATGGATTACCCTAGTCAGTGCAGATATTCCATCAGCCTTTCACTAAAAGGACATCATCACATATACTAAGAACATGCAAACATGCTGAGGTGTCCTTTGGGATTATACAGCGGATAAGCACTTTAATTCTTCTTTCCTGGTAAGTAGATATGCGCACATATATACAGCCCAAAGCCAGGGATGATCTCATTTTTATGCTGATGGCTGTTACTCTTCACACTGAAATGTTAATACATTTCCATACTAAAGAGAGGAACACCACAAACACAGTCTGATGTGACAGCACTGTAACTCTGTAAGAGAAGGCTCAGGGGGGATCTTAGTAGTGTATATAAATACCTGAAGGGAGGGTTAAAAGAGGACAGAGATGGGCTCTTTTCAGTGATGCCTAGTGACAGGACCAGAGACAAAATACAGGAGGTCCTGTCTGAACATCAAGAGACAGTTTTTTACTGTGAGGGGGACCAAGCACTGGCATAGGTTGCCCAGGGAGATGACAGAGTATCCATCCCTGGAAATATTCAAAAGCCATCTAGACACAGTCCTTGGGAACTGGCTCTAGGTGGCCCTGCTTAAGCAGGGTACCTCCTGTACTGTGTGACCTCCTGAGGTCTCTTCCAACCTCAACCATTCTGTGAAGACAGCAATCCCAGCGCAGTGTGATTATTTACCTGGAATTATAATTTAACAGCTTTTAGAGCATTTTCAGCTAAAAATACAATCCCTGCTTTTAGTGATTATAAAACAAGATCTGCTTTTGTAACTGACTGGAGCAAAATTGGAAAAGCAACATAATTCACAGCAACAGGGTCTTAAGACTACTTTTACAGTTTAAAATGTCAGGGTTATAGAAATGAGTGTTCACCACAGCAAGTGAGTAGCTAATGTGCAAGAGCTATTCCTAGATACAAGGAGACATAGTAGTTGATCTGAAAAAAGGTTACCCACATCTCATGCCTGTGCTTGCCCTCAGTGAATTTACTATCCTGAGAAATCCTGATGTGTAACCTTCGCTCTGATTTCTCTGAGGACAGTGCATATTGGCTACTTCCACTCAGTGAACATCAAGTTTTTTCACTCCTCAATGCTGATAACAACTGCTAATAAGATACACACTTAAATATACTTAGTTTGGCTGCTGCAGGTTTATATTAAAATGAATAGTATCGTCATAATTCCCTGAGCATCTATGATGCAGCAGGTAGAGCATCAAGATAAAAAAAAATAAAAAACAGATATTCACATAGAATACATCTTGGTCCTTACAGAAACAATGAACTTCTTTACATATCCTACGCTCTATTCAGCTATGAGCAGATGGGTGTCAGCTTGCCTGATCTGAAAGCTTTATATTGACTATTATTTTACACAAACATTTGCATGCTTAGAGATTACATTTGGGTCTCTTCTTTTAGTGGATCCACTCAGAAGCGGAAATGGTTGTCAAAAATCCACAAAGCTGGAATCCCAAAAGGTTTGTAATTCAGGATCACAGTCCAGAACTTGCCTGGGCTCAGCAGTGCTGAACTCTGTAGTCTGACTGATCTCAATGCTGTAAGAGAAAACAAACGATTGAATTATCACTTACTTGTATTGTGGAAGAACCAAGTAATGCATGCCCTGGTCCTAGAAGTCTGCTTCTATTCTCCTTATTTCAGGCATTTAATATTGAGCCAGCAGACAGGAAATGCACTATATGAATAAAATAAAATACTATATTATAAATAACAAAAAATTCAGAACAATATAATGATCACCAACTTTCACACTCAAACGAAAGTTAGCCTTCATATCTATACTGCAATGCACGTTATTTTAACATTTGAAGACAATGTTAAAATTTTGAAGGCAATTTTGAGACAATGTTTAATTTCCAAAGGTATTATTGATACTGGTTCCATCTGTAATCTAGAGCAGTATCTTCCACTGCAGAAGTCTCTGACAGCTTTGACAAACCATTCATCCAGGCAGATATCAGCTATTTTCCAGAAATGTCACATGGACATGAATTCCTCTGTGTCAGATGAGATCTCTGCAAAGTAACCAAAGAGGATTTCACCCTCTTCTTTCCCTTCTCAGATCCCCATATATACCAGGCTGAAATCTGTTCTTAGCCATAAAGAGACTAAATCTCTTGTGAAAGGCTAAATCTTTGTGATTTTCAAAGATTCAGATCCAGTCCTTTTGGTGGAGCTAGATATTCAGGTAAAGCCCATCCGGTATGTTGTACACACATGCTCCATTCACAGATTAGTTCAACATTAATCCTTAACTTCAGAGCTGCTACTATCTTTTTGCCTCCTCGTCTTTGAAGATTCTTTTTGCCAGGTAGTATCTCTTCTGATGGAACAGAAACTCAGATCTCAGATCGAAGTCTCATTGCCCTGGGATAAGGTATAGCTTGTCGTCTGTGGAATGACAGACAACAAACTTGATTCTTTACCCTTTTTTCCCCATTAAATGAATGTCATGAGACACCATTCCCTCCTTTCTTCTCTTCTTGTCTGCCACACAACTCTATTCACAATATTAGTAGACAGTTTTTTATTCATCCTCTACCTCTTTCTCTTAAGAGTGTTTCTTTTGTTCCTTGGTTAACTGGAACTAAACCAGGAAGGCTTATTTGACAACTATTTGGGTTAGCGCTGAAGGAAGAGAATGAAAGACTGCACCTGTGAACATGAGAGGATCAATTGTTTCACACACAGTAAGTTCAGTCACAATATAAGGACCAATAGCTGAGAAAGCCTCCTAGCGTAGACTGTGTGCTTTTACAGAATTCAGAACCTGTAGACTATACATATGGATGCTAATATTGACATGACCATAATGTAGCAGCCTGTGGAAGCCCATGTTTTGTATAAAA